AGAACATTTATCCTGTAGCCAAGTAACCCATTTTACCTTATTACTCTTTAATCTTCCTACTTCACTTCAAAATCTATTAAGTCACTTCCAGACGGTCTATTTAGAGTCTAGTCCTGAAGACACTCTTCAGCCTTCATACGTTTGGCAGGATGTGTTGTTTTTGTTCTCCATAGGTTTAGCCTAGCCCCTTCTGGTTTAATATTTAAACCTTTAGAGGGTGCAGAAAATGTTCCTTCATTTTAGCCACAGTCTAGGGGTTGGTGTCTAGGAAGTGGATGAATGTGGTGTTGTATTATCTTATTTCACTCATTATTTGCTAGCACCTCTTGATGTGCTTCTGGAAGGGCAATGCCAGCCAAATAATAGACTTTTTAAATGGGGGTACGTTTCAGGCAGCTATGGTTCATGGTTCATTAAGAGCTATATCCTCTTGATTGGCATGTGCTGATTTATACCATTCAGATTAGCATATTCTGTTGTGGAGCAGCACAGGGACAGAGCTGCTGTTCTTTTTGTTTGTAGGTGTGCACCCCAGTCTGACTCAGCCAGTTTCCCAAGCATGTTAATTATGGTGACAACTATCTGTTTGGTGTTTAGACAGTGTGTTTTGTAGGTCGGAGTTCAATCCAGAGTGACATTGAAATACTTTGGGATAGGGCAGTGTTCAAAAATTTTGCCTTCCAGGCTAACTTACAGCTTCTTCACTTCTTTGTTCTTTAAATGAAAGGCATAGACCTGTGCTTTAAAGGGTTAGTTTCAGATGGTTGCTTTTAATGAGAATAATCTTGGAATACTCTTAGAACTACAGAGCTAGAAGTTACCTTATGTATCATCAAATCTAGCCCCTGTTAAATAGGCATAATGCAGAATTGAACTCCCAGCCTCTGGCTGTGGAGCCAGATACCTAAAGCACTGAGCTATCCAGCAGTTATACAGTGGTGCCTCGCATGACAACATTAATTCGTCCCAGCAAAATCGCTGTCGAACGAAAACATTGTAATGCGATATTAAAAAACTCATAGAAATGCATTAAAACCCAATTAATGTGTTGCTATGGGCTTCAAACTCACCGTCCAGCGAAGATCCTCCATAGCGCGGCCATTTTCACTGCCTGTGCAGCGAGGAATCCATCCCAGAAAACGGGGGCGGCCATGTTTTTCACCCAGCGGCCATTTTGAAACTGCCGATCAGCTGTGCGAAAATCATCGCTTTGCGATGATCGGTTACTGAACCAGGGAACCCGATCATCGCAAAGCGAAATTCCCCCATAGGGAACATCATTTTGCGATCGCAAAACATCAACATCATGCAATTTCGTCATCAAACGGAGCGTTCGTAAAGCGAGGCACCACTGTATAAGGAAATATCTTCTAATGCAGAAGTTAGCTGGTGCTTGATGGCTTCAAAGGTTTCCTCCTAAACTGTCAAGGCCAGATCATCTGCACACAGGAAGCTCCTGGAGTATCTGCACACAGGAAACTCCTGGAATATGGGAATGTTGGTTGATCATTTGTGTGAATATTAAAAACTAATGGTGCTGGGACAATAACCTGGGGGAGACAGTTCCTTTGATTTTTTTCCAGCAATTTCTCAGTGCATCCTTACATAATCAACAAAGAATCTTTGGTTTTGAAGTAGATGACAAATATTTCTGTTAGTCTATCATCTTTAGTAAGGAGGCAGTGATTTGAAGGGTTCCTGTCAAGGAAAATTACAGGCCTGAGCAGAATAGAGTGTATTAATGAGAATCCATAATGATCAGGTGTGTTAAAGCTGAGTCAGGATGACTCAGCAGTGCTGATGCAACTCAGGGATGATGCAATGTGTGATCTGATTGGTCCTGTATATGTATATATGTATGAATTGTACAGTCAGTTGTATCTTCTTCCTGCTTGAAGATCACTTCTACATGTTATGCTACCAGACTGATGTAAAAACTGCTGTAAATACACGTTGCTAAAGGAAATGCTGCTGGACTGTGTGTGAGTTATTTCTGGACTGCCTGGACCGCGAATTACTCTGCTAAAACCGTGATTTGCGTTAAGAAACGCTGACAGTTCCCAATGTGATGTAGTGGATGGAACAGTGGACCATAACTCTGGAGAACAGGGTTTGAATCCCTGCTCAGCTATGGAGACTGACAGGGGAGTAGAACTAGGAACACATGCCCTTGAATATCTCACCTTGAAATACCTATTAGGGTCACTATTAGTTGGTTTTGACTTGACGACACAGAACACACAGTGATTTTTGAGTATCAGTTCACGGTGAACAGTCGAGTAGACCAGATAGGTGGGGTATAAATCAAATAAATAAATAAATAAATAAAAAAAATGCTGTGAAGATTCTCTGTCATCCAGGTGAGCTTAACTTGAAGCTGAGTCATGGCAATTAGACATCTTTTTAGGTTGAAACGTTTCACTAATCCAAATAGCTTCTTCAGGCTGAGGTGAATTAGTAGGAGACCCCTGATATACTGTATCCACCACATTGGTTTCACTTCCCCCTGGTCTGAATAGGCTCATTAGATGGACAAAGGACGGGGGTGGGTGTGGGTGTTGAGTGAAAATCCCACCTTTGCAGTCTTTCTCCGCCCACTGTCATGGGTTGTTAACAGTGGTCTTTCTGGTGTGTGTGGTCTTGATCTTTCTGGAGAGGGATGAAAGGACAGTATGATAAATAGGAGGCAGATTGTATCTAAGTCCTCCACCCCTGTTGAGTGAGGGATTTCCTATATGCACATGTATGGCCTCCCTGACTCTTATCATGCTGCCCTTTATCCATCCTCAGAAAAGTCAGGACCACACCCACCAGAAAGACCACTGTTAATAACCCATAACAGTGGGCGGAGAAAGACTCTAAAGGTGGGATTTTTCACAGACAGACAGACAGACACACACACACACACACACATCCTTTGTCCATCTAAAGAGGCTATTCAGACCAGGGGGAAGTGAAACCAAGGTGGAGGTTATATCTGGGGTCTTCTACCAACTCTCCTCAAACTGAAAAAGCTACTTGGATGAGTAGTGAAACGTTTCAACTTAATAGGAAAAAAGTCCAGTTGCCATGACTCAACTTCCACTATCATATGCTGTTTTAAAGTTGACAAATGCTGCTCTGGTTATTTTATGTGTCTCAAAACCATCTTCTATATGCTGGGTTAGATTTAAGAGCTAAGCATTGCTGATTACCTATGATAATGAATATTAATTATGGTGTCATAGAAGATCTGGGTGTGACCCTTTGAATAAATAATAAAATGTCAGAAAAGTGAAAGTATTTTTCCATATTTATTTTATGTGTATTTTATAATATTTGTGTGAGAGTTTCTAGCTGCTGTGAAAATTTGGAACTTCTGTTTTCTAAAATGTGTGTGTCTTAGAAAAATTTAATAGCAAGCAAAATCTGAATTAAAATAAGTTGTCTTTTCTGAAGGCATTGAATTTTTTTTCCTTCATGGTCACAGTGTGCTCAGACATATGGGATGTGACAGTGGAGCATGCTGAACTTAGATTATCTGTCCTGTCACAGTGAAATTTACAGTACCTGGAAAATATCTACTGTAGATGGAAACAGAAAGCAGATTTTAAATGACTGATAGCTTATTTACAGCCATTTCATACTGGAGGTGGACACGAATTAATTTATGTTATGCAGCCTCCTTAGCATCTGATACTAGAGGGTTTGAGTGCTTCCCTAAGTGTTTTCCCTGTGTGTCCCAAGGTCTAACAAATATTAGTTGGAAGTGAAGGTTGGAGGTGGGTGGGTGGAGCCAAGTGTGCCACTCTGTATATGTAATTAAAATGAGGCTATTAAAATACTTATTGAAAACGAAGCCAATATAGTAATTGACTTTTACATTTGCAAGCCAGTGTGAGGAGGGTTAAGGAAGTGAACATGTTATCCGGAAGAAATAAGGGATTGTAAATGATAATAATTCAATTGCATCAAGAAAAATCGATAGAAAGCTTGACCTAAGCACCTTAAGATCCAGAAGCCCATAAAAAGGGGAAGGTAGTCTACCATATGGAAGTAAGGTTTCCTTAGTTAAACTAAGCAGATATAGTTGAGATACAGTAACCAAGGCCAGTATCCTGCATTACTGAAGATGCCCCTGTGATCTAAGCAAACTTACACAGTGACCAAAATGACTGGCAAATAAAATCAACTGTATCTAAGTGTATTCGCGAAGGCTTTCACGGCCGGGATCTAATGGTTGTTGTGGGTTTTTCGGGCTCATTGGCCGTGTTCTGAAGGTTATTCTTCCTAACATTTCGCCAGTCTCTGTGGCTGGCATCTTCAGAGGACAGCACTCTGTACTCTGAAGATGCCGGCCACAGAGACTGGCAAAACGTTAGGAAGAACAACAATTCCGCCAGTCTCGGGCTGGCATCTTCAGAGGACAGCACTCTGTCCTCTGAAGATGCCGGCCACAGAGACTGGCGAAACGTTAGGAAGAACAACCTTCAGAACACGACCAAAGAGCCCGAAAAACCCACAACAACCATGTATCTAAGTGATTTGCAACAACCAGAGCCAATAAATTATTCAACGAAGTTGGTCAGGACACTCATTGTGAAAGGGGTATGCGAGTACCAATTTATTTAGAAACAGCAGTTGGCTAAAGAGCACTTTCCTGGGGGCACCTGAGCCATAGCGGGAGTAAAGAAATTACACATTTAAATTGGCTGGAAAGTGAGAATAAGATTTGCAAGTTAAGACTATATAGAATTGGTGCATTTTCCCTGATCTGCAGCAACTCAAAACTAGTTGTCACAAGTATCTTTTAAAGAACCATATGCCAGTTTCCTGCAGCATAGAAATAACAACTTAAAACATTTTAAAGATACCCACAGATAAATTCTGACACAATGATTTTTAAAAAAAATTATGGTAGGATTATAAATTTGTGAAAAATCCGAATGTGGAATTGTTGTGTGAGTTTCAAACTTAAATATTTCTGTTTTAAGACATTATTGGATTTGCATTTTCCATAGATGATTCAACGAGAGGCAGAAGTAAAAAATAAAGTTACTGCTGTGGCCCTAACAGACTCAGTTCACAATGTGTGGCATCAGGAAGCTGGCAAAACTATTCGAGAATGGATGCGAGAGGTAAGTTTGAATTCCAGTTTGCAAGTGCAGGAACTGAAAAAAAATACATTTCCCTTCTTTTTATCTATCTGTTTTTATCAGTTGTACTTGATGCCTGAAATCCTATTGCTTAGCATAATAAGCTGCATCTAGAGTAGATCTATTGCATGAGTAGAACATATGGAGGAGTTAACTTACCAGATTCCGCAGATTCAGTGGGCCACTCTAGTTGTGCAGTTCTGTGACTGACTAAGTTGCAACAGGGTTTCAGCCATAGTTGGAAATTTTACATGCTGTTCTATTTGTGTGTACACTACACAAATAAACTTGTATTTCTGTCATTCTGTTCTAATATAATCTGATTTACTTAAACTTAAATGCAGCAAACATGCAAGCATAACCTTAGGTTTTGAGATCCCATGACTGGACCCCTATTAGATCCTTTTAGTGGAAGAATGGGGAGGGCATTTTTTTTACTCATTTCATTTTAGAGTGTCACCCTCCCGATCTTCCCCACAAAGTTCAGGATCTTCTAGAAGAACATCGAAGATAGTTTGAGAGACAAATACAGGAATCTTCAAAAACGGCCTCTCTTGCTTTCTTTTATTGGATGAAAGGCCCTGCTGTGCACAGAAAGAGCCCTTTAGCTTCATACAACTCAAGACCTATTGGTTTTTAGAAGTATTTTACTAGAATCATTTCACAACTCCTTAGGTTTTTTTTTCCTTATTCTGGCACCAAAAAAAAAAAAATTCCTTGAGTTTTTAATAGCTTTTTAAGCAGAAATTTACTTATTTTTTGGGGGTGGGTGGGTGGAAGTATGAGACAGAATCCTATTTGGGATTTACACTGTTTGAGGGGGTGCAAGTGCGCACCCCTAGCGAGCCAACTAGCCCCAGGGCACAAGGATCAGGCAGCTGGGAGGAGGGTACGTTTTCTCTGGATCAAGCCAGCAGGAGAGAGTCCACACAGCTGAAGGAGAGACAGTTCCCAATTGAGGAACATCTGGAGGAGGCAAGGCCAAGGAGAATAAAAGGGCAAGACTGGGAAGGCAGGGGGTCATTGCCTATCTCCAAAGAAGTGGATGTGTGGGAGGATGTAACAGAAGAGAATGGTGAAAGATGTCTACCCTCACCCTGCTTGCTTGTGGCAGGAGTCAGACATCAGAGACTCCAGCCACATGGTTGACCAAGGCTGTTAGCCTGGACTCCACCACAGCTTTGAAGAGGGAAGAGATTGGTAGGGGTGAGCTTCTGAGCCTGACTTCTTTTGCTCATCTGCCCCTAAAAGGTTTAACCTGTCCTGGGCCCAAGGGTTAAGAGACTATAATTCAGCTCTGTGAGACTGGGGGGGGGGGGGGCAGGGGGAAGGGACACTGTACCCCTAATAAAAGCTGTTCTTGTCAAGTCAGGACTAAATCCAATGTGATGCTAGCACTCAGCCATCAGCATGATGCAACTTCTTCCCTTTCCCTCTCCTTTAGCCCTCTACATCACATCAAAAATTGTCTCTAGATGATTTGTGAGTGCTCTGGAGCAACAAGCTGGGGGGGGGGCTGCTGGAGGAAGGGAGCACTGGCTCTCCCAGTTAGCTGACAAAAAAGGTTCTGTCAGCAGAAGGAGCTTATTGGCTCCTGCTCAACATGTGCTGCTGCTTTGTAGTCTCAAAGATTCATACCTATGGGCTACTTTGTCTGTGCAGTGATATTCTGGAATGTTCCATAGCTGAGCGCCCATAACTAAGGAGGTAGAATCTACTTCTTAACTTCATCAGCATCCTCAGTCCTATTGATAGCAACTACACCTAACTTGGCTTTGTCCCTGATAGGTCTAAGCAACCAATCCATTCTGCTAAGTTGAAGAGGCCACTACCTGTCGCAGCAAGAGAGCCAAAAAAATAAAGAAGAAAAACAAAAGGAAAAAGCATGACAACTTTGGGGGAGCACCACCCTCTATACAGGTTGTAACTCCTGTAGCGGATGATGAGCGGCCTCTGGCCCCACCATCAGTAGTACCATCACATCATAACTTAAACATGAGACTCCACAGAGCACCAAGAGGGCAGTGAAACATCTTGCCATCAGAGGGTGAGATATTTGAGAAATACACCTCTGCAGAAAATGACCATCAGAGGCTCTCTCTTTGCCAACCCCCACAAACTGTGGTGCCCATCCTTGATATCCTCACCAAGGTAAAACCCCTATGATTAATCTCACTTATCAAGACATAAAGGGACCCATTTGAGATCAAGGGACTACTTTCCGGCTTCAGCATATAGTGGTGCCCCGCTTGATGATTACCTCGTTGTATGCCGAATCGGCTCTACGATTAGTTTTTTGCGCTTGCTATTGCGATCGCAAAACAATGTTTCAATGGGGTTTTTCCGTTTGACGACGATCAGTTCCCTGCTTCGGGAACCGATTTTTTGCTTTATGACCTCTCAATGAGGGTGAAAGAGGAGAGTGCAAAAATGGTCTGAAGCTCAACATTAAAAAAAACCTAAGATCATGGCCACTGGCCCCATCATCTCATGGCAAATAGAAGGGAAAGATATGGAGGCAGTGACAGATATTACCTTCTTGGGCTCCATGATCACTGCGGATGGGACAGCAGCCACAAAATTAAAAGATGCCTGCTTCTTGGGAGGAAAGTAATGACAAGCCTAGACAACATCTTAAAAACCAGAGACATCACCTTGCTGACAAAGGTCCACATAGTCAGCTATGGTTTTTCCTGTAGTGATGTATGGAAGTGAGAGCTGGACCATAAAGAAGACTGACCACCGAAGAATTGATGCTTTTGAATTGTGGTGCTGGAGGAGACTCTTGAGAGTCCCCTAGACTGCAAGGAGAACAGACCTATCAATTCTAAAGGAAATCAACCCTGAGTGCTCACTGGAAGGACAGATCCTGAAGCTGAGGCTCCAATACTTTGGCCATCTCATGAGAAGAGGAGACTCCCTGGAAAAGACCTTGCCGTTAGGAAAGTGTGAAGACAAGAGGAGAAGGGGATGTGAGAGGGCAAGATTGTTGGACAGTGTAATCGAAGCTACCAACATGAATTTGACCCAACTCTGGGAGGCAATGGAAGGCAGGAGGGCCTGATGTGCTCTGGTCCATGGGGTCACAAAGATTCAGACACAGCTAAACAACTAAAGAACAACAACAACCTCAGACATGTTGGTACAGAAAATTATTTCCTCTAGCTATGCCATAGAATTCCAATCTCTATCTTCTATAGGTATCATCACAACCTCTCAACCATCAGTGGATGCCGTCCGGTCCCTGCAGCGCTGCCTGGACACTGTACTGGAATGGATGCAGTCAAATGGATTGAGGCTGAACCCGGACAAGACGGAGGTCTTGAGGGTGGGCGGCCCTTCCGTCAGCGACATAGGTGACTCCCTCTCCTTTGGAGGGACGACCCTTGCCGCAAAGAGTGAGGTCCACAGCTTGGGAATACATCTGGACCCGGCGCTTACCATGGAAACCCAGGTGGCGTCCGTGGTCCGCTCCGCCTATTTTCATCTATGGCGGATTGCCCAGCTGCGACCATATCTTGATCGGGGGGCCCTCACTACTCTAGTCCATGCGCTCGTAATCTCGAGATTAGACCATTGTAATGCA